CCAAGCGAAAAAATCTGGGCAGAGATTTTATTCATTATTGGGGAATTCTATGATATATTAAAAATAAGTGATTTGTTTCACTTTCCCCCCGTAATCTTAACCTCAAATTTACTAATTTGTGAATCTTTGTTGGCAAGACCAAGTCAAGCAGACTGTTTCCCTTATTGGTTCTGTCACAACCTGTTCTAAAAAGCAATCCGAACCGTACAAAAGTCACCAGACTCAAGATTTCCCGTCTATTGTCCAATCAAATTTTTCTAAAGTTAAAATCCCCATTATCACAAAATTTTCATATCTAGATGCCTTTTGAAATTTTGTCCCCATAACAGCTTACTGCCCTCCCAAAAGGTTTTTGGGGGCCCATAAATCACACCCAAAATTAATTTGTCATGTCCCTCGAGAAACTGTTGCCAAACATTTTTGTTTCAATGTTTCAAAACTTTATCATGTCTAAACAACAATTTAATTTTCTCTGAACTCGCCACCCCACCACCCTTCCGTTGACCCTATCAGTGTGGAATAGTTTTTAACCCTTATGTTGCATTCAGAAGGGATTTTTCTATCTTTCAGGGTTTAACCAGGTCTCTGTTTACCAATAATATTATTTACCCACCTTGCAATAATCTTAGCTCATCTATCTTATTTCTTAACTCCTCTATTTGTTAGTAAACCTTGAGGGGGTTAGTCCTCGTTACCCCACTATCTTTTTTTTTTGTTTTCAATTGATTTGCCATTACACAACTTTATTTTGAATATGTCTTTTAAACATATCCCGAGGTATCCTGGTAATGACTGTTTTTTAACCCCAATGCTCAGCCTGATTGTTTTTCCCCCAAACACCCTACCTCTATAATCTTTTGTTTAAAATTTCCCAGACAAGTCATCAATTACCCTCTCAATTGAAAGGGTAATGCAGCCACTCCATCCCAGAGAGAGAACCCACCTTTGTATACACATCACGTTTGCCAAAAAGGTTTTCCCCTTATCAATGAATGGGATTGCAAGTTCCTTTCAGTACCTGCTAGCCCGCAATTTATACCAAATTGCCCTAGACATCCCTTCATTGCCCCCCCCTCCCTTCTAGGCAAGACACTACTAGACTGGGATCCCTCCCCAGACCTAACACTTCTATGGTGACCCTTACTTATCCACAGCCCCTCTCCTGCCCTTTCCCCAATGTCTTACCCCCCGCACTAAGACAATAATATTATCCAACCTTGATACGTCACCAAAACCACTCCAGGAAAGGGAACTCGCTGCCTTTCGCCTCTGTTACAAAAAGCACGGGGCCCTATACCTTTCCTGAAACACCTATATTAAAAAAATTTACCTTGATTAGCGGGGAATCATGGTACCTTTAACCCCACTAACCACGAAGTACACTCACTTGGAGAACAGAGAACGATTTTCTCCCCCACATCTTCTCTATTAAATCTTCATCTTCCTTCTTCCGAACTGTGAACCACTTGTCACTTAACCCGTAAACGGTCCCAAACGTAACTACTTTTTTTTTAACATTTGAAAGTATGTAAAAAAAAATAGATCTTCTTTTTGTTTTTTTACATTTAAAATGGTAAAAAAACTTTTTTACTTTTTTGTTAATTTTTAAAATATTAAAAAAAACGAGATTTTATTTTGTAGCACTACACGTGAAAAAGATCTGCTTGGGCCGTTTTTACGGTTAAAAGCGGCGCCACTTCACTGCTGGTGACCATTCCCTTTAAAACTAAATCCTTCTCACACTCGCTCCCCAAAATCTCTTGCGAAGCTTCAGCTTCTATTTTCCTCCTGAAGAGAATCTCCTTCTTCAACATTGAAACCCGAGATTCTAAAACACTACAACAAGCCAGGGTGCTTTGGGAACAGCCCCCGCTAACTCCCAAAAGCTTAGGGAGGTATGACCGCAGGTGACCCCCTGATCTCGCATACTGAAGGAAAGGGGAAAAAAAGAAGAGTGTAAAAAATTTTAGGGGAATAAGTCTGTGGGTATTTTCCCCCGTAAGCCCGCATTCGTAAAAGGCGACTAAATGTCGGGAGCAAAACTAGTAAAACCTTCTCCTGATATATTATAAATTTAAAAAAAGAAACTTTTGTTTTTCCTTTTGGGGCCCCCCCACCTCATGGGATACGGCTGTATTTGAAAAAGTTGTTTTATAACCCGGTAAAAAGTTAGTAGAGTTATTATGAAAGAATTAAGATAAGAAGAGTAAGAAAGATGAAAAGGAGGGTTTAGGAAAGGTGGGGGTATTACACCAAGTGTTTGCAGTGAAACATATAGGTGAACGTATTTAGGCAATGTGGCAGATGTTGCAGATGTAGGTGTAGGAGGGAGGTTCGGAATAGTGAAAGTTTTTTTCGAGGAAGGAGGCTCAAGTTAGTGTGTGTAGGAAAGAGGGAGATTTTTTCCCTTAAAAAGTAGGCCTTAGACAAGGAGTGTGATGTCATCGTGTTTTTTCAAAAAATTTTTTTAGATGGGGTTGTAAGAGATGTAAATACAGGGTCTTGCAAGAGGTGTGGAGTTAAAAAATAATACACAAAGTGGGAGTTGTCCAGTTGCTCTTTGCTGTGACACTGTGCCTTTTGGGTGTTCGAAAAAAGTTTCAGAGATTTGGTGGATGAATTTGTAGGTGTGTAAAAGAAGAAAATTAAATGAATACGGAAAGAGTAAGGTTATGAAAACAAAAAGAATTTGGTGATGAAGATTATATCAGATTGGAGGGAGAGAGTAGGGGGGAGGTGAATGTATTCAATATTTGGGGGTGGACGTTCATGGGTGGGTCTATGAAAGTGAGGGGAATCATAAATTTATAAGGGGAAAAGGGGGAGCGGGGCCTTTGGAGTCTGTGGAGACCCAAAAACTTTGTCCTTGGAAGCAAAGAGGGGGAAAGTATGAGAGTATAGTTTTTTTCCAACACTCCTGTATGGGTGGAACAGGGTGATGAATGTTGCAGCGAGGAGAAGGCTGGAGGCAGTGGAGATGTCATGTCTGAGGGCAATGTGTGGTGTGAATATAATGCAGAGAATTCGTAGTTTGGAAGTTAGGAGGAGGTGCGGGATTGCCAAAACTGTTGTCCAGAGGGCTGAGGAAGGGTTGTTGAGGTGGTTCAGACATGTAGAGAGAATGGAGCGAAACAGAATGACTTCAAGAGTGTATCAGTCTGTAGTGGAAGGAAGGCGGGGTATCGGTCGGCCTAGGAAAGGTTGGAGGGAGGGGGTAAAGGAGATTTGGTGTGCGAGGGGCTTGGACTTCCAGCAGGCATGCGTGAGCATGTTTGATAGGAGTGAATGGAGACAAATGGTTTTTAATACTTGGCGTGCTGTTGGAGTGTGAGCAAAGTAACATTTATGAAGAGATTCAGGGAAACCGGCAGGCCGGACTTGAGTCCTGGAGATGGGAAGTACAGTGCCTGCACTCTGAAGGAGGGGTGTTAATGTGGCAGTTTAAAAACTGTAGTGTAAAGCACCCTTCTGGCAAGACAGTGATGGAGTGAATGATGGTGAAAGTTTTTCTTTTTCGGGCCACCCTGCCTTGGCGGGAATCGGCCAGTGTGTTAATAAAAAAAAAAAAATATTTAGATAAGGGTAAAGAGGTATTTGTGGCATTTATGGATTTAGAAAAGGCATATGATAGGGTGGATAGGGAGGCAATGTGGCAGATGTTGCAAATGTATGGAATAAGAGGTAGGGTATTGCAAGGGTGAACAGTTTTTACGAGAATAGTGAGGCTCAGGTTGGAGAATGTAGGCAAGAGGGAGATTATTTCCCAGTAAAAGTAAGCCTTAGACAGTGACATGTGATGTCATCATGAATGTTCAATATATTTATAGATGGAGTTGCACGAGAAGTGAATGCTTGGGTGTTGGCAAGAGGTGTGGGGTTAAAAGATAAAGAATCTAACACAAAGTGGGAGTTGTCACAGTTGCTCTTTGCTGATGACACTGTGCTTCTGGGAGATTCTGAAGAGAAGTTTCAGAGGTTGGTTGATGAGTTCGGTAGGGTATATAAAAGAAGGAAATTAAAAGTGAATATAGGAAAGAGTAAGGTGATGAGGATAACAAAAACATTAGGTAATGGAAGATTGGATATCAGATTGGAGGGACAGAGTATGGAGGAGCTGAATGTGTTCAGACATTTGGGAGTGGACGTGTCAGCAGATGAGTCTATGAAGGATGAGGTGAATCATAATACTGACAAGGGAAAAAAATGTGAGTAGTACACTGAGGAATCTGTGGAGACAAAGAAATTTATCCATGAAAGCAAAGAGGGAATTTATGAGAGTATAGTTATACCAATGCTCTAATATAGGTGTCAGGCATGGGTTGTGAATATTGCAACAAGGAGAAGGCTAGAGGCAGTGGAGATGTCATGTCTGAAGGCAATGTGTGGTGTGAATATAATGCAGAGAATCTGTAGTTTGGAGATTAGGAGGTGTGGGATTACCAAAACTATTATCCAGCGGGCTGAGGAGGGATTATTGATATGGTTTGGACATGCAGAGAGATGGAACAAAATAGAATGACTTCAATAGTGTATAAATCTGTAGTGGAGAGAAGGCAGGGTAGGAGTCGGCCTAGGAAAGGTTGGAGGGAGGGGGCAAAGGAGGTTTTGTGTGCGAGGAGTGTGGACTTACGGCGTGTGTGAGCATGCTAGATAGGAACGAATGGAGACAAATGGTTTTTAGGACTTGACATGCTGTTGGAGTGTAAGCAAGGTAACATTTATGAAGGGATTCAGGAAAACCGGCAGGTCAGACATAATTCCTGGAGATGGGAAGTACACTGCCAGCACTCTGAAGGAGGGGTGTTAATGTTGCAGTTTTATAACTGTAGTGTAAACATGCCTATGGCAAGACAGTGATGGAGTGAATGATGAAAGTTTTCCTTTTTCGAGTCACCCTACCTTGATGGGAAACGGTCAATTGTTAATAAAAAAAAAAATACATACATACATACATTTCATGCATGCTTTGCTATATTAAAACCCAATATATAAAGCCTTACCTATCAACAACAATTAAAGGGCCATTTTGGTAATTAGTATGGGCCTCAGATACTAAGGAGACAAGGCTAAGTGTAGTAGCAAGTGCTGGGAGTGTTTGTGGCCAACCTGGCGCATGTATCAATCTGACTGGCAATTCATAATCATCTTGTAAGCTCTGCACTGCCACATCCACTGTTACAAGCCCTGAGTTCAGCTTTTCCTCCAGATATCGTACCTGAAATTTGGCAGTGAAACATATTTGCATCAAATTCTATTACAATATGCATCAAATACATGTAATAATAATGAAAAATATCAAATTTTGGGGTAACTTCAATCTCTTTAAAGATAAAACAAACAAATGCAACTTATACCTTCCAGTGCTCTGAATCAAAATCATCATGCTGAGCAGGCCAAAACTGTGGGAATCCTTGACTTTCATCTACAGATGTAAGAACCACAACTGTCTGGGCATTGTGATCCCAAACCATCTGCCAGAAGTCAAGTATAGTAGAAGGAAGTGGATGTTGAGTGAGTACAAATTCTCGTAATCTCTGATGACCCATGAGCCAGGTGGCATTAATGTAATCCGAGCCATCAACACCGGGTTTTGGCGTTAGATGCACTCGACCATTTTCCATTGGTAAATGGTCTGTACTACGATTTTTTTCCCTATTAACAGGCTTTACAGCACTGACCACATTGAAATCACGTGGTTGAAAATGTGTCACCAGCTGGAACAAAATATTGAGAAATTAATATGGGAAATATTCTAAATTTTTAAAGAAAAACACCACACAACCACTACCATAAACAATTATAATTAACCAAGCTTCTTACCCCTCTCTCCAACATGTGCACAGCTGCATGAAAATTACTTTCACAATTTTTTTTCATACTACTGGTATACTTAAGACTGATCTGTAATTGTTAAGGCCAGTTTGATCACTATTGTGGATAGGACTAATCTTTGCAGTCTGGAAAGGTTTGCTCTTAATGTAATTTGCTGATAAGTACTGAAATAGCTGGGATAATGCTTTTGAAGCTTTCTTGTAGGTTACTGAGGCATCTCTTCTGTACTACTGGCTGAATTAAAATTTAAAGATTAAAATTGAAGCCATTTCAGAGGTCAGGATAAAAGCTAAGTTAAAGGAATTGGGGTAACTGTCTGTTGATAGACAGTGATGCTAGTATGGGACTATGGAATGTTGTTAGCAAGATTTATTACTATTGTATAAAAGTTATTAAGCTTGTTGACAGTATCAACAGCTGCGAGTGAGGATTTATTTGCCTTAGTGAGGAGTGTTTATTTTTTGGTGATTTTTTACTCAAAACTTTTTAGAGAATTTGCCTTGATTTCTTTTATACAAGATGCTCCTTGCATAAACTTAGTAAGTGCCAAATTTAAAAAAATGAGTCGTAAGAGGCTGAAAATCCTGTGCTCCCATTCGCTGAGAGTTGAAATAGGGTCAACAGGAAAGGTGGTGGAGTAGCGATGTATGTCAGAGACAATTTAAATTTTTGTGTTAGACAAGATATAAAATTAGAAGCATCAGCCACTGAATCTGTTTGGTTACAGCTTCTTGAGGGACGAGAAAAACTAATTTTGGGTGTGATTTACAGGGCCCCAAATCTTGATAGGGAGTGCAGTAAACTTCTATGGGACGAAATTCGTAAGGCATCTACATACGAAAATGTTGTGCTAATGGGAGATTTCAACTATAGACAGATTGACTGGAGCAATTTGACAGGAAATTTAGAGTCAGGTGACTTTCTTGATACGATCCAGGATTGTTTTTCAAAACAGTTTGTGACAGAGCCAACTAGGGGAAATAACCTCCTTGACTTGGTTCTTGCCAGTAGGGAAACACTAATTAATAATCTTGAGGTAAATGATGAGCTTGGGGAAAGTGATCACAAATCACTCAGTTTTAATATATCATGGAATTCCCCTAATAATGGCAATCAAGTCTCCGTCCCTGACTTTCGCTTGGCTGATTTCATAGGACTGAAAAATTACTTAGGTGGGCTGAACTGGAATGACCTGACTAAGGGTCAGGTAGGTGGTGATGGTTGCCGATATGATGCTTCCCAGGGCATAGTTCTAGCTGCTCAGTCAAATTATGTTCCAAATAGGGAAATCAGATCAAACAAAAATGATCCAAAATGGATGAACAATAGATTAAAATATCTGATTGGTCAAAAGAGAGGCATATATAGGCAAATCAAAAGAGGAGAGGGGCAATTAAGAAATCGATATATTCAGTTAAAGAGAGAAATAAAAAAGGGAATTAGAAAAGCAAAAAGAGATTATGAGGTTAAAGTTGCAGAGAATCGAAGACTAACCCAAAAGGATTCTTTCAGGTATACAGAAGTAAGATCAGGGACAAGATAGGCCCACTCAAAAGCTCCTCGGGTCAGCTCACTGACAGTGATAAGGAAATGTGTAGAATTTTTAACACATACTTCCTCTCAGTTTTTACACAGGAGGATACCAGCGATATTCCAGTAATGATTAATTATGTAGAACAGGATGATAATAAACTGTGCACAATTAGGGTCACAAGTGACATGGTCCTTAGGCAAATAGATAAATTAAAACGTAACAATCCCAGGCCCTGAGAACTGTATGCAAGGGTTCTAAAGGAATGTAAAGAGGAGCTTAGCACACCTTTGGCTAATCTTTTCAACATATCACTACAAACTGGCATGGTGCCAGATAAGTGGAAAATGGCAAATGTGATCCCTATTTTCAAAAAGGTGACAGGTCCTTAGCTTCGAACTATAGACCAATAAGCCTAACCTCCATAGTGGGAAAATTTATGGAATCAATAATTGCTGAGGCAGTTCGTAGCCACCTTGAAAGCAATAAATTAATCAACGAATCTCAGCATGGTTTTACAAAGGGGCGTTCCTGTCTTACGAATTTATTAACTTTTTTCACTAAGGTATTTGAGGAGGTAGATCATGGTAATGAATATGATATTGTGTATATGGACTTCAGTAAGGCTTTTGACAGGGTCCCACATCAGAGACTATTGAGGAAAATTAAAGCACATGGAATAGGAGGAGAAATTTTTTCCTGGATAGAGGCATGGTTGACAAATAGGCAGCAGAGAGTTTGCATAAATGGGGAAAAAATCAGAGTGGGGAAAAGCGTCCGAGCGGTGTTCCACAGGGGTCAGTGTTGGGCCCCCTGCTGTTCACAATCTACATAAACGACATAGATGAGGGCATAAAGAGCGACATCGCAAGTTGCCGATGACACCAAAAAATAGGCCGTCAATTCATTCTGACGAGGACATTCGAGCACTCCAGGAAGATTTGAATAGACTGATGCAGTGGTCGGAGAAGTGGCAGATGCAGTTTAATATAGACAAATGCAAAGTTCTAAATGTTGGACAGGAAAATTAACCATGCCACATATAAACTAAATAATGTAGATCTTAATATTACGGATTGCGAAAAAGATTTAGGAGTTCTGGTTAGCAGTAATCTAAAACCAAGACAACAGTGCATAAGTGTTCGCAATAAAGCTAATAGAATCCTTGGCTTCATATCAAGAAGCATAAATAATAGGAGTCCTCAGGTTGTTCTTCAACTCTATACATCCTTGGTTAGGCCTCATTTAGATTATGCTGCACAGTTTTGGTCACCGTATTACAGAATGGATATAAATTCCTGGAAAATGTACAAAGGAGGATGACAAAGTTGATCCATGTATCAGAAACCTTCCCTATGAGGATAGACTAAGGGCCCTGAATCTGCACTCTCTAGAAAGACGTAAAATTGGGGGGGATATGATTGAGGTGTATAAATGGAAGACAGGAATAAATAAGGGGATGTAAATAGTGTGCTGAAAATATCTACCCTAGACAGGACTCCCCGCAATGGTTTAAGTTGGAAAAATTCAGATTCAGGAAGGATATAGGAAAGTACTGGTTTGGTAATAGAGTTGTGGATGAGTGGAACAAACTCCCGAGTACAGTTATAGAGGCCAGAATGTTGTGTAGCTTTAAAAATAGGTTGGATAAATACATGAGTGGATGTGGGTGGGTGTGAGTTGGACCTGATAGCTTGTGCTACCAGGTCGGTTGCCGTGTTCCTCCCTTAAGTCAATGTGACCTGACCTGAATAGGTTGGGTGCATTGGCTTAAGCCGGTGGGAGACTTGGACCTGCCTCGCATGGGCCAGTAGGCCTTCTGCAGTGTTCCTTCGTTCTTATGTTCTTAAGACAACCTACTAGGGTTAACAATATCATCATTTCTAAGACAATATGTCTTCAATCTTAGTGCCACTAGACAAAGATGAACACAACAATAAGGCAAGCATTTTTGGCCAGACTGGCACTTGCTGAATTTATGGAGGGAGTGCCTCATATTTTCTGTGGATTAGTTAAATATATTTGGATAGTAACTTAGCATGGAATTTCTAATTATCATTATGAGTGTTGTTGAATACTGTTGTAATAATTCCCTGAATAGTAGGGCCAGCAGGTACTGCTTTTGTAATGTCTCTGAGTAAGCATTTAATTAGTCATGGGTTGTTTAGCCTTTTAGTAGTTATTTGTTTAGATTTTTGTGAGCTTTGTATTTTGTAGTGAATTTTTGCATTACTTATGAAATTTTCTACTCTATAGTTTATAGTAGTATTGCCAAAACTTGACTCTATTTACCAGTTAGTGTGTATAAAGTCATCAGTAAAGTTGTTAACCCTTTAACCCTTTGACTGTTTCCAACGTATAAATACGTCTTACGAGCCAATGTTTCTGACGTATTTATACGCACAAATTCTAGCGGCTTCAAATCGAGCGCCAAAGGCCTGGTAGGCCTACACGGGAGAGAATGGGTCTCAGTGGTCGGTGTGCACCCTGTGAAAAAAATCTGGGACCTAGCGGTGCATTGTGGGAACGCCATGTTGTCAGTCCATTTTCACCATGCCTCTCGGTAAGAAGTTCCTCACTCCTCGGCGGATTGGAGGTCTTTTGTTCCCAAGTGATAGCTCAAAACAGCGATGAAAGTGTCAGTGACAGTGATTCAAGGGTTTTCAAGTGAGTGTTACTGAAAAAAGTCCCAGGATAACGTAAATAGTGACGAAAACCCAGATGACCCACAAACCTTCGACCTCTGGTGCTGTCCCGGGCTTTTTTCAGTTCACGTTCGCCTGTACCAGGACGAAAGAGGAAACTATTTGGTCGTGTACAACCCTGATGATAGCAGTGATAGTGATAGTGATTTTCAAGGTCATTGAAAGCAGTTCATAGTGACATGAGAGTGAATATTCCCCAGTGAAGCCCAGTATGTACGACGTAGCATGCGGTCTGGTAGTGTTTTCATATGTTTTTCCCAAAGGGGGAAAGGGGAAAAAACTCTGGGAGCACATCCCGTGGCCCACACCACGACCTGATAGTGAAGATGACGATATTGTAAACGATGGGTATGAATGGTGACAGTGAGGAGGGGGCATGGTGGTGATAGTGAGGGTGGCACGGCCCTGTGGCACCATCACCGGGCCACGCTACTAGCCACGCGGCTGACTCACAGAACAACCCGCCTCACCCTACCCCACACTGCCACAACCTGCACCACCACAACCTGCACAGCCACAACCCGGTACAATAAACCAGACCCCACCAGCAGACCGCATCTGGGATTGGCAGGACGGTGACGAGTTTGTTCCCAGTCCCCATGACTTTGATGAAACACAAAGTGGAATAAAGCCATCTTGTCCACTT